GCACTTTTCAGAAGGTCAAAAGTAGACACCCCACCCCCACCCCCACCCCCCATTTGCTGTTTAAAACAGCTCCTTAATGCCTTGGGAACCCCATTGTTCCCCTCGCAGGATGCTTCCAGTCCTGAACTGAAACAGTCTTAGGTTGTTCCCTCTGAGGATTGTTCCCCTAATTCAGTATTCTTTCTGGATTCCTGGACAGGCATATGGCAATTCCCCATATCCTAGTTTTGTTTTCTATGCTCAGTTGCCCCTAATACAATAAGAGAATATGCCACATAACATTATGCATTTTTAGTGTAAAGTCTGCATTATCTGCCATCTTCCCACTTTCTTAAAAGGGTGTTAAATGGCCACCCAGGCTGCCCAGTATGGGAGTTGGGCTTAGTTATAGTCCCTTGTGCCAGGGATGGTGTCATATAAAAGGGAAAGGAATGCACATTTGAAGCAAGCCACCTTGTGTCCCAATTTGCACTTTGCTCTGAGGAAGCAGCGTGGCACCTGGTGGCCTTGTGAATTTCAAAGCCTGTTTTGAGAAGACTGGAGCAATGTTAGAGGCACCTTGCTGAAGTTTATCAAAAAAACTTTCTTTCAGAGCATCCCGTTGCCTTCAATGGCTACCACATTGTCCCGGTAAGTGGGAAAGCAGAACATGCACAAGAAAGCAGGACATGCACCCTCTTACTCATGTTCCCCAGCTGTTTCCATGTACCCATAATGACAAGTAGACAGCCATGAATAAATGTATCTTCCGTACATTTATCCATTTCATTTCTTCCAATGATGAAAGGCTAAAATCATATATGCTCTCATTTTCTGGGATTGCTCTGTTAAAGTCAAGTCTTGTGCATAAACGATATTACTTATTTATATACCATCTTTATTTTGTGTACATAATGCAGCTGTTTCCCCTTCTTTTCCCTACAACAACCTGTGAGGTGGGTTGGGCTGAGACAAAATGACCAGCCCAATATTACCCGGCTGACTTCCATGGTTAAGGGAGGACTAGAACTCACAATTTCCCAGTTCCTAGTCCAGCACCTTAGCCATTACACCAAACTGGTTCTAAACCACTACACTAATAAGTTTGTATGTCAATTCCAGTGCCACACATGAATATAATTGCACATACAAACGCAAAACAGTTTATTTGTTTCCCAAACATGGTTTTTATAGATAATTCTGAATGATAATAAACAACAATTTACAACATAGCAAATTGATTCTAAATTCCAAGATAGCTAAAGCAGGTTGAGTAAAGCAGTCTATGGACCTATTTGAATCTACTCATTCTACTCAAGTTCATTGGCTGTTCAGTTCTATCCTTATTGTTACAAATCCATCACCTCCGTGTCTCTCTTGAAGAGGAATTTTTTTAAAAAAACCTATTTTTTGCCTGTGAATAAATCTATTGGGGAAGACCCACGTGGCAGGAGAGGTGGTCTTCGAGCAAGATTCTTAACATCAGTCTCCTGCCCAATATTTATTTGGTTAATCAGTATGTGATACAACAGAAGTTAAGAAGTTTCTAAATTGTGTAGCCTATGATTCATTTGACAGAACAGAAATAACCTATGGTCAAAACTTGCAGATAAAATATTAATAATTGCCTTTTGATTCTCGCACTTCTGCATGACAGATCAATATTTAAGTGAGGTTTTCATCAGCAGATCATTTTTTAAAATAATATTATAGTAGAGCAGCCATGAAGGCCTTGGAAAGATATTCAAATGTTGTGAAGTGTCTACACCTACAAAGATCAGAACAGTGCAAGCCATGATATTCCCTGTGACACTGTATGGAAGTGACAGTTGAAGAAGCAGGAGAGGAAGAGTATTGGTGCCTTTGAACTCTGGTATTGGAGAAGACTCCTGAGAATACCATAGGCAGCCAAGAAAACAAACTGATCATCGAACAGCTCAACCCAGAATTCTCATCTGAAGCACAAATGACCAGGCTCAAATTATCCTACTTCAGACACATTATGTGAAAATCTAGCTCTCTGGAGAAGGCTGTATTGCTGGGAAAGGTGGAAGGAAAGAGAAGAAGAGGACAACCAGCAGCAAGGTGACTGGACTCAGTTACAGTGGCAATGCGTGCACCCATTGGGAGACCTGAAAGAATAGGTTACAGATAGATTGTCATGGAGAAAATCTGTGTGGTTGCTAGGAGTCGAAAACAACTTGACAGCACATAATCAATCAATACTGGGTTATTAATTAAGATGGTATCTGTAGTCTCTCTATTCAGGCATGTCATTGCAGATAACAAGATTGTTGTAGGCGTGTGAATAGTATCTGAGGCTTCTCCCCAAGCATATTCTTAGAACTTGAATTAGAACTTTTAACTTGATAAGAATGCAGTAAATGCCAACAGCAGATTTAGAAGGTTGCTTTAAGAAAATACCACAGATGACAATCTCTGCTCACATGGCATTGACTTCATGTAAGATATGCCATACTATCTGTTTATTGTCCTATTTTTTTTCTAACATTCAATCTAGGTTTTTAGATATAGCTCTTAAGGGGTAAGTTGACTGACTTTATTTTTTTCCCCTTAGTTCTCATTGTAGGATAATGTGACTGGCAGTGTCTAGTTTCACCCTATACAATCCTGAAGCCTGGTTTAAATGCTATCCTCTCATTGGTTTAATCAATAAACTAGGAATATCAGTATTATGAATATTTACATTTATTTACAATAATAATACATTATTATTGTTTAATCTTTTTTCTCCCTCTTTTTGTTGAAACTTATAGGTGAAATAATAAGGTTTGACTGACTGACCAACTGGCTGTTTCCATCCCCTAATGACTCTGAAATATTTTCTCCTTGAAGGAGGGAGAGGAGAACTACTATGTTTATTTTTGCTTGCTAACTTGCTTGGCTGTAGAAGCTGGAGCTAATATGCATCATATTTATCTTTTATTATTCAATTTATTCCCACTTTTCAATTTGTATCAACCCAAATAATGATTTCAGGAGAGTATAGCCTGTGGCCCTCAGATCCTCTCCAAATGTTGCTCCTGAATTTTAATTTTTAGCTCGACAGAAGGAAAATAATGAAGAATTAACTACACTGGGTTACTTTAAATTGAATTGTTTCTGTCCATCCAAATTTATTTTTCCTTGGTCATATCTATTCTTTGCTCTTCTCCCACCCATTTATTAAATGCAGCCTTGGTTCTGGTTGGAGTGTCAGGTCACAAGTAGCTTCTGGAGCAGCCACACAACATGGAAAAAGAAAGACCCTGTTGATTTAACAATTCAGATAGCAGTGCTGCATGCACACTCCTGTATGTTTCAAAACACCTTTTTAAAAGGATTTCCCTAGCCCTAAAAACAAGTTTGGCTATCCATCAGATAGTTTAGCTGAATAAGCTAAGTAGTTTTGGCTGATAAAGTTCAGTGTCTTTGTTGTTCCCAGACCTATGAAGACATCCCCTTGACCCACCAACATTTCACCCCAATTCTGCAGTTTATCGTCTGGTCTTGTCACAAGTGCTGGCTTTTTCCCATGCATGGGCCAGTCCAAAGGGAGCAGCTCAGAAAATGAGAATTGCTGAGACTGACTAATAGCCAACGTTAAGAATAAATTTAAAGGATAGGTTAAAATGCAATATAATTTTCTGTCTACAAATAGCGAGTTTCTGTCTCCCACTTTACCTCAAGGTTGAAGCCCGAAACCCTGTTTTAATAAAACACTATTTTTAATATTACTACAAGTAGACTGAATGAAAATGAGAAGTCCCATGTCTTCTTGTATACTTCCTCCATAACAATGAATTCTAGGTGAGGGTGCAGTGCCAGCCTCTGAGTACTAAACTTCAGCTCCAGATTTTAAATATTTTCTGTTGCAGTGATTCATAAGAATTTTATCTGCTCCTTTTTTCAGGGACATACCTTGGCCTCCCTGTATTCTTCTCTAGGTTTAACTGGGCTGTTGAATTCTTTGTTCCCAAGTTTTCAGGGTTACAGCTATCAAAAATGGAGAGGCACCAGGGATTTTCTTGTGAGTCTAAAAGCATCTATGAAGCTGCTCTTTAGTGCTACTTGTGTGTGCATGTATGAACCCGTTAATGTTGGACAAAAAGCAGAAGAGAGATATTTTTAAATTGCCTGTGTATTGTAGCCAAAGCACATATTTTACTGGCATTACAAATGTGGAAAATCAGAAAATATAATTTAAGTATCATGCACAAAAACACTCATACAATTAAATCCTGGGGTTAGGCCCAATCCTTTGCTTACTCTTGGGTACCTGCACAGGTAACTTCAGCCTTTTCTGCAGTTCTAGGTTCCTTCCATATGTTATACTCTATTG